AGCAAGAGTTGAAAAAGCAGCCTAAATCTGCAAAATAGTCTAAAAGTTGCTAAACACGTGCTCAAATAAACAAAAGCAGCTAAAAGTCTCAAAATGCTAAAGATGTCATCAAAACAAGTAGTAACACTAAAAGTAAAACTGATTTAAAAAGTAGCTTAAAAACTAAAAATAGAAACAGAACCCAAAAGAGCAAAACAATGGTTAAAAGTAGCTTAAAATGAAAAAATAAAATAGAACTGTGTTTGTGCTGTTTTTTTTTATTTAACATAGTTTTGACAACAATTAAACTTTACCTTCAGACCACCATATTTACAGCTGAGAATTGTTAAAAAACAAAGTATGAGGAAATAGTAAGATTTCAAATACATAAAAGAAGAAACTACAACAGGATTCAGACTTTTAAACATGTTATCTCTCAACTTCCTGATTGGCTGAGGGGAAAGCTGGGATCGAACTCACAACCTCTCGATTGACAAGTTAATTAGAGGGAAGATCCCTTAAAGAACACTTTGTTTTTGTTTCCGTTTTTCTAGTGTTTAATTGAAACATCCACTCACGAAATGGAAATGAGCGCTCACTACTTACTCAACCCGTAGTTTTTTTTTTCCAAAGTTTATTTTTAACCATTTGAAAAAGAAACGGAGCAGTTACGTCACCAGTGGTGAACTAATTAGCCACGCCCTCCGTGTTGGAGGAGGCAGGCAGTAAGGTCGCGTGCTGAAGTCTGATTGAGAAGCAGCTGAGAAGAAGAAGAACTCCTGCGGAAGGAAACGCAGCGCCAAACACTCACAACTCGACCCCTTTTGATTAGTTTTATTTTTTTTCTTTTGTTTTCCTTTTCTAAAAAAAAAAAATGGCGTATCACAGCCCGTACAGAGCTCCCCCGCACGTCAACGCTCCCCCGGACCAGAGTTTTCTGTGGAATATCTTCCAGAGGTGAGCCCGGAAAGTGGTGGTGGTGGTGGGGAGGAAGGGAAAGCAGGGCGGTTTGTTTCGGCGGTGCGTTAAATAGTCCGCTCCGCAGTGAAAGGAGGAAGAGGAGGCTCGCTTCCTGGTGATATAGTGCTGAATGAAAATCTTTCACTGACAGCTCGTTATGTGTGCCTTATTTTCGTTTTCGCTCTCGCGTTCTTTCGGCTGTTTTCGGCTCGGAACAAAGGTCCGCAGTGATTGCACTACAGCGTCTGTAAATCTCCACAGCAGGCTGCTGTAGCCTCCAGGTCACACTGCTGCCTAAAAGTGTCACAAAGGCTCGAATAGCAGCTTTAAATCGTGTCACGCACCATTAGCTGTCTTCACGAGCAAGTGGGGAGTTCTCAAAAGGACCTTCACTAGCCCTTGAAGGCGTTTTTTCCCCACTCAGTTAAAAATGGGCTAAATTCAATTTAAAGTTCATTCCTACCCCATACACTGGATTAAAAGCCTCCCCTCCTCTAATCTGGAGACCCTGTGGCTTCATCAGGTCTAAATGTGTCACAAGGTGTCCTAGTAGTAGACAGCGAGGAGCATGTTGATTKAGTTTGGCCCCTGGTCACATTAAAAACTATAGTTATGTAATRCTGCAGAGGATTTGTTGCAGGCGTCGATGAGGCTCGATTCAAACCTCAGTGAATTATTTATGTGTGGCGCAAGGACCATCAGAGGGGCTGTAGATGATCCCCT